AAACTTATTTTTAGGCTAAACATAGGGAAATTTTATATTAATTATATTAAGCTATTTATTATAAAAACTTAGTAAAGGGAGGAAGAGGCTTAAAAGTTAAAAAAAATAATTTTATATTAAAAAGTAATTATAGTAAACTATTAAAAAAAAAGTAGTAATATTAAATTTTACTATTAATTAAAAAACCTAATATAAATAAAAAAAATAATATAAAAAATAAAAAAGTTAACTTACAAGGCCTTTTAAATAAACACGGGAAATTTAAATAAAAAAAAAAGTAATAAAAAAAGTCCTGGAGTTATTTTTATAAGTATTTAAAATAAAATATTACTTACTTTACTTACTTACTTTACTTAAGTTTTTTTAATAATTACCTTCCCTTTTTACCTTACCTCCCTAACTTTTAATCTTTTCTTTTATAACTCTTGCTTTTTCTTAATAATATTAAAGAATTATTTTTTTATTTTTTTTTTATTTTTTTTTTAACGCCTGGACCTAATCCAGGAGTCTTATTAAAAAAGCTATTAATATAAAAAAGTATTACTTAATTATTTATTTTTTTTTAAGCTTTTTAACTTTATTTATCTTTTCTTAACCTTCTTTTTTTTCTTGCAAACATTTTTTTTTATTACTTTTTAAAAATAGTTATAAATCTTTCTTGTGTTTTTATTAAACAGCATAAAAACTAGATTTTTTTTTAATTACTTAAGGTATAAAATAATTTATTAATAAAAAATAAAAAAGTTAAACTAATAAATAAACAAGATAGTAATTTTAACTAAGTAATTATTAATAAGTAACTTATAAATACTACATTCCTTTTAATAACTTAGGAAAAAAATAAACCAGATTTTATACCTAAAGTAATTAGTTAAACTACTTTTTTAAAAATAATATTAAATAAAAATAAATATCTTAAATTAAAATAAATAATTAATAATAATAGCACATTATATAATATAAGGTATTAAATTTTTTATTTTTTTTTAATACTAGTCCTAGATAAAGCTAATATTATAAAGTTAAGTAATTATATTATTTAAAACCTTATTAAATTACCGCCAACTATTTAAAAGTAATTTAAAAGGTATTTTTAATAAAGTAAAAGTGCCTGTAAATAAATTTATTAAATAGTATTTACTTTAAATACTAATTATAAATATATTTTTAGCCTAAAAACCCTATAAAATATTATTAAAAAATACTGGCTAGTAGCTAAAAACTATTACTAATACCTTATTATTTTTACTACTAATAAATATACCCAAGAACGCCTTGTTAAGCTATTATAAAATAATTAAATTTTAAATAAAAAGTATATTATAAAGGCGGCGGAAAACTTATAAAATTTAAATTAATTAACTAGGGTTATTATAGTGTTTATTACTTAAGGCCTTAATTTAATTTAAAATCCTAAAAAAAATAGTTACCTAAATTAAAATATTATTTAAATATTTTAAAAAAAGTACAAGTTATATACACAGGTAATTAACTATTAAGTAGCCTTTTTTACTATTTTTTAATATATTATTATTTAAAAAAATGCGGTAATGCAAGTTTTAGTTAAATAATAATTAAAAACTAAAAATACTAAGTTATAAAAGGTAATTACAAAAATTAAAGCTGCGTGAAGGCTAGGCTTTTAAAAAAAGGTAAAGTATAATTATAATATATTATAGTTATAAGTATAGTATTTAATTAGAAATATTAAACACCTTATGCTTAAAAAAAATAATTACTACTAGTAATAAGACTAGTAAAAAAAAGCCGTGAAAATAATAAATATTAAAAAAAAAAATTATAAATTAATTTACAGGAGTAAATAGCTATAGCTATTTAAATTTAAAAGTAACTTATAATAATATAGTAATAATTTATAAAAAAAATTAGTTATATTTAATAGCAACCTTTTATTATTATTATTAATTAATAAATTTTAATTAAGCTTTATGCAAGTTTACAGGAAATATATAATAATTAAAATAATATTTAAATATAACTTTATAATACCTATTAGCTACTTATAGTTTATACTATAATAATAACAAGTATTATAATAGTTACCCTTTTTTTAATTAAAAATAATATAAATATAACTAGCTAGGGCATAATTACTCCTTTTCCTCCCTTGCCTTAGTAAGCTTAAAAGAAATATTATGGTATTTATAGTAATGTTTTTAAGAAGTTTTAAAAATAAATTTTGCTTTTAATTATTTATTTATCTTGTTTTTTTTATAGCCAGTATTATTATTAAAAATTTTTTGGTATTAAGCTAAAAAATTTAGGCCTTTTAAAATTATAAAAAAAAGTGTAAAGCGCTAGCGGAGTCACGTGCCCTATTAATTAAATTTAGTAATTAGTTATTTTCTTTAGTTTAGTTTCTAAATTTATCTATTATTTTATTAAAGCAGAGTTACCATTCGTTTGCCATAGGGATACCAGTATCTTTGTGGGAGTTTTTATTGATTAGAGATATCCAGTTAGACAGCGTTTAAAACGCTCACATGACATATGTCCACCAAATGAAGCGCAGGTGGACGCTCTTTCCATCTCTGAGTCAATGCCGTATTCCACGTCACCACTGGTATAACACGGTGTGACAGAGGAGTAATGGGGGGCGCCACAAGAGAGGAGAACCGTGTTTTCGGGAGTCCCTTAAGCCCGACGAAAAGGCAAGATTGTCAATCCGGCAAGACCAGCTACGGGGTTTGAGGCGCTCGCGGACTTGGAAAGCGCTATGATACAGGAAGTAACTTCAGCGGAGGATATGGCCCGAGGTAGTTTTCGATAAGCAGTACCCTGGGACATCTAATCCCCCGGGACGCCACTTCCACCTGTGGATCGCTTACCTCTGCTCAGCGCGCTTTCAACAGCTGTCGGAAAAATCTGGGGAGCCTGAGAAAAGTACCTCATCGGGGAGATGCGAGACGAAAAGCCGGGCGGCCGCACCCTGCCGGAGAACCCAGGAACGTTCAGACTTGCCGTCCACTATTGACAGTTTCTGACAGAGCCGACCCGATGATCGAGGGCTGAGGAAGCACAGAACCGATACATTGTTCGGGCCCGGGGAATAAAAGGCAAACTCGTATCGGAGGCTCAAGACGTCAGGGCAAGCTGAGCAGGGCCGAGCCGTTCACTTTGACTACCAGGCGGGGGGGACGAGTTGCTGGAAGCTTGCCGTTCACAATCACTTACCAGGTCTCGCCTACCTAGCCAGTATCAATACATCATCCTATTTCTTTGCCAATCCATCCGACTCTTCTGGCTGCCCAGTAGAAGATTGCAAATCGTCTACTTATACACTCTGTCACTGCACTCGAGTGTCAATTATATTTCTAATCACGGCACTACTCTATATTGTGAGATCCAGACCGATGGACGTTAAGGAAACGGTAGGTGATTCCAGGGCGGCTTCTGGGAACGAGAGTGAGGGTGAGAGACACTGTTTACAACCCCTATTCTGACTTGGCTCTGAGACAGGGCATCGTCTCACACGGTTCAGCAACCTGAGTCTGCCTTGGCTCTCAGAGAGGGCGCGTCGTCTCCAGCGTTGTTCCAGAAGTTGGAGCTGCTCGGACAATGTCCTGCTCGCTTCGAACTGGTCGTCTTACGACCTGCGCTTCGCTGGAGACCTTTTCAGTCCCAAGTTCCTTTGGCTATCTCCAACCCTGAAGAGATCGGGTCACATTGGCGCCTGAGTCAAGAGCCGGTCTGGCTAGCGAGGAAGATGGCTGTGGCGGCAGCTGATCCCTGGCGACAAGGGAGGAGCGCAAGGCTGGGTTGACGCTGCCGATGCTCCAGAGACAGAATTCTGTACCTAGTAAGCACGAGAATCGATGCATGTATTCATTGGTCCATCGCGGGGAGCTCTTATGGAGGCTTGGGCTTTCTAGAATGAATCCCTGGGAGCAAACCACGAGAATTCAGGGATCACTCCATCCTATCGGAACATCAAACCCTTCGCCTGCGGCTACTGGAAAGATTCGTGGCGTTGGTGATGCTTCCAGAAACCACAGACACCGTGTCATGTCTTATTGACACCGTGAACCATCGCCGCAAGGACAACGAGGTGTGCAGGTGGCTGCATTGTAACCTTCAGATTCGGCTCAATTGCCTCATGGGCAGCAGGCAAGCAGAAGAGGCAGAGCTCGTCGATGGTAGAGAACATTTAAAGCCGGGCTCTCCCCTCGTTCAAACTCCATCTTCACTGATAATCTCTCCCATTGAAGCTCCCCTCCATCGAAAAAATCCAGCATTCCCTCACCTACGCCGTCTCTCCCTGTTCTTATTCCAATAATCTACTTCTTTCCTATCCACCACCATGTCATACCGACCCAACTCAACCGCTGCAGAGTCCGTGATCCAACACCTATGTCAGCTGCGTCCCCTTGATGGGGCCAGCGTGTTTTTGCTGGACGAGTTTATGGACGGATTTGATGAAGGGCCAGCAGCGATGTTTGTAATGCCCATCTCTTGAAGTGTGCCGAGTTATTCTCCTTCAAAGCTAACTCATGTCTGTAGACGCGTATCTTCCTCCTTGTTGACGATACCGGGTCCGATGCTCAAGAGACTGAGAAAGAATCTCACTACTTCTGGCAGACTTCCCGGAAGTCTTTGACTGCCCGCCTGGCGATTTGAAATTGTGAAGGGTAGGTGCTTTTAGCTTGGTTCGTATTGTGTTTTTTCTCTTGGTTCCTATTGATGTGCACCAAATGTCCCATGGTACTAATTATAACCGCCAATGGCCAGTTTTCTTACACCTTGGACTTTGTATTGTGGTCTTCTTGGGTCCTATTGATGCATTGCCCCTCTCTTCTGGGCTCCTTTTGCTTACTCTTGTCTCCAAGAACATGCCCTCGAACATAAATAGACCCTCGAGCGACGGGTGTCACTGCACTTTCGATCATTGTCGCCCTTTCGTTATCATCCGATAACCTGCCTAGCGACCCTCTCATCTTCCAAACTATTCGATTCGAGTACTTGCCCGGCGTCTCTCCACAATGAGTTCCATCAACACCATCAATTCTGTTGGAGAGCCAGTGCTTGGCTCGAAGCTGGCAGCGCACGTGGCGTCTGCTTTTGACTCGGCGGGGGTCCCTTACTGTCTCTGGGGCTACCATGGGTTGGGCTTTATCCATCTTGACAGGGAAGATGTCTGGGTAAGAAACAAGTCCTGTCTGACACCTACAAACTATCTCTGCTGACCCGAATACAGGAAGTCGAATTTGTCATTCCCGACGCGAAGATCTCACTGGCAACGGCCGCCTTGAAAGCCAACAACCTCGTCCCCTGTACCGATTCCGAGTGCGGCGAGCTGAACAGCGATCAAGCAAAGAAGAATCCCCCCGAATACGTAGGTCTTGTTATTTCTAGGGCGCAAGCTTTAATACTAGAAGTAATGCGCGAGGCCGGAACAAAGTTTATCCTGCTTAAAATATTAAAAATATTACTATTAACAGCTTATTTAATATTTAACACTTTTATTAATAACTTATTTTAAATAATAATACTTTTTTTAATAGCCGCAATAATAGTAAATTTAATAAAGGTATTTAAAAAATAATAAAAAAATAAATTATATAAGTAGTATATAGCCTGCTTATATAAACCTGTAATTTATAAACCCCTAATTTTTTAAATTTTTTTTATTATAATAGCTAATACTAAAGGTAATAATAGCACTACTTTTTTTACTTGCTTACCTACTTTTACTTACACGCCCACTTTTTTATTAACCTAGCTACTAGCAGCCTATATTACTAATATAATAAATTATTTAGGCTATAAATTAATAGTTTTAAAAAAACTTTATAAATAATTATATTATTTATAGTATAAGCTTGTGCTCCGCAAGCCTGTTAATAAAATTAATATAATAAAAAAAATTATAGCCTGCTTTATTAACCAGGAAGTTACTATTAAATAGTATATTAATATACTTATTAAAAGTAATATAATTTATAGGTATTACGCCTAAGGCCATAAGCTATTTATAAATTATATTATTATACCAGGCTACTTTAGTAATAATTATATAAATTATTATTAAAATAATTTAGGTGCGTGGTATATTAATAAATATAAGTTATAGCCCTTATTTATTTATAAATATATTAGTTAATATATTTAGCTCCT